AGACAGCCACACTCACAGGGTCCCCCCCCCCCTTCTGTAATGATGGCAGCTGAAGTGACACTGAAACTAGCCATCGTTCTTTCTGTCACATGTAAAGTGACAGGACGAAAGCAGCTCCAGCATTTAAAGCCAATCAATCATACAGAAGTCAAGACTTGGCGTCTTTCTGATTCCCGATCAGTGCAACAGTTTAATAATGTCTGTGTGTGTTATACACAAACGTGTATAAATGTCATAAATAAGTAAAAAAAAAAAAAAAATACACCTGTTAATATAAATGTGAATTAATGAAACCATTCTTCAGAAGAAAACATTCTCCTCATTAATAAGTTTTATTTTTTACTTTGATATAACACAGATTAACCAGAGACTGTAAATAAAGCTGGACGGAGCCTGAGTGACATCACCCATTGGTTTTTGAAGGGCTGCTTTGGAAGCCCATCCATGGCGGGTGCCATATTGGAAATGCTGACTCTCTCAAACCTTTGATCAACCCAGCGACAGGCAGACAGCTGGAGCTGAGTCGGACCTTAAGCATCCTGACAAACAGCTACATCGCAGCGGTTAGATTGGTCACACCCTTTATAATGCATAACTTGTATCCTTAATGAAATCAAAACGGGTGAGTTATACAAAATGTTTACCCCCCTGCACAGTGTGTGTCGATAAAGACATGAACTGATCAGATCAACAACATGTTTATTTCTGCTACATGGACATTATTATTTGGCGTGTGTACGGGATTTATGGGCCTCATGTGGCTACTGGAGGAACTGCAGTTTTTTGCACTTCCTCATTGGCTCAATTTTTCAACACCAGAGGTAGCTGCTAGAAATTGGGAAAAAAATAATTTGGGACAATCTATGGAAAAGTTTTACAGCATATTTAGTCAAATACAATAAAACAGGGAGTGATGCCTTGGCTAATTATGAATCATAACATGTAAATATCATTAATATGATGTTGAATTATCCTGATAAAGTCTCTTCTTTGTGTGTTTTATTTATTTGTTTAATCATCTCAGCTTGCGTTAATAATATGATTTATTTCCACAAACATTTGTCCTCTGCACAGTACCAGTCTCCTGGAGGATCTGCAGTATATCTGCTGCTGCTCTGTCCCACACCTGGGCGTTATATTTGCCACTGCTGTTAGAGTCTGCCTTTGTTACTTTTAATAACTGTGACAGTATCACAGAATCCCACTAGAGAACATGGCCCTCTGGCATGGGAAATGTATGCAATTAGCATTGCGCTCTGTAATATATTGCTTTGGTCTTTGCTACAATTTAAGCATTTCAGCTGAAGTCTGTGAGAGTTGTCTGTTTTAGTGAGCGGCCGATCATGCATCAGTCTTTGAATGAATGGATGACGATCGCTGCACACCTTTCCATGTAGCCTCAAAGTATCAGCATATATTTAGATTGCTAAATGCCCTGCTAACGTAACTTAGCAGATGTTGGGGAATCATATGGATGTTGGTGTAACAGAGACCCCCTCAGGTATTCTCATTATTCTACTACCGAGCAGATGGCGGAGAAACTTACCACACTTACCATTATCCATCATACATATTCTGCTCCCAATTTACATAGCCAGTGCTTCATGGGAGCTCCTACGGGGAGAGTACCCAGCTCCAGGATCGCTCTGCAGCTCCACCTGAGGCTTAGGAAGACAGTCTGAGATGTCAGTGCCACTGCACCTCAAACTCAAATATGCTAATAGTTGTTCAGAGGAATTTCAAAGGGCGAAGCCCGGTTGAATATTTTCTTATGTGAAGAAGAAAAATGTGCAGCTTGATGATTTTTAAATAGTAGAATATCAAACAGGTAATGTTTTATAATTAGCCTGCCTCAATAAGATGATAAAAGGGGGCTTTTGTTGTATTCTGGAGAGGTTGGATATAGAACATGGCACATGTGAGGACCTCATGTTTCCAAACTGAATCTTATTTCGAGATTTAAAGTTATCGATTATTTGCTTGTGCAACTCTGTCTCCTTGAAAGTAATTTTTATACATGACATAACTGTTATTATGTTAAGGAGTATTTGCTCCCTGGTTTATGTTGTTCCTTTAGTGAATGAAACAAAACATTGATGAGAGTCGCTGGATTTGTAATTTTTTGTCTGAGGGGTTGGCTGATATCATGCAGGAGCGATGCACAAGAGTGAGCGTTTGTTTGTGTTTGTGTCCATGCTCCTTTGCTGCACTCACACTGAGAGGGAAGACATGGTCGTGAAGTTTAGTGCATCTGTCTGAATTCAGTAATATCTGAATGAAACTCTTTGGTATGTGACCAGTAGAGTGTTCGATCATTGATAAATTATTCATTCAAACAGAATTAAATTATTTGTTTTCCTACCTTCCTGCACTCTGCCTGTACACTCATCATGAATGAGCAGAGTCCTCCATTAGCTCAAATGAAAAATCCACTTTGACAGTGTTTTTGAACATATATTTGGGTAACCTGAGTCTACTGACCCACAAATTGTGAAATAAATCCATCCAGTCCTTTGTTTGTGGTCTGCATAAGTCTCACAACACAGAGAAAAATGCTCCGTTTCAAATGTGCTCTCCTTGTGACGTCACAAATTGGATTCTGGTTAAAAAATACCCTCCCCTCCCCTGGTATCTCCAAAAATGGACTCCACCCCCAGGCTACAACAAAACTTTTGCGCAGGTCTGCCATTTTTATTCTCACTACAGAGGAGTGAGGTCTACCTGGGAAAACTCAGGGGTGCTAAAAGACACACACATCAAAACGGAGTGTTCTGAGAGAGCTGGTTTATAAAGGGTCACAAACCTCCTCTGGTGCTTGATTCATGTTATATTTTGACCAAAGCACAGCACAGATGTTTCATTTAGACCCCAAGGCACTGTTTGAAAAGGTAGAAAAGGGGGATAATATATCCTCTTTTTTAAGTCATCAAGCTAATTTGAGAAGTAAAATGTATATATTTTTTGACCATGTGTGAACCTGCGGTGTTGAAAGAGAATCCCTGCTAACACCAAGCGGCTATTTTGACAGCAGAAATAAACATGTCAATTGTCTGGGTGAAAAAAAAACTGCTTTTGTCTGAATAGCATGAATAAATGTTTGGTGATTATTGTTTTAATAACACAACTGTTTTAGTTATATTATGCTAAAGTGTTATGCTTACTTTTTCATAATTAGGCACGTGGCTGGCTGTTTGCTAGGAGGCTTACATGCTGCCTCAGCTCCACTTCTTTGTCTGTTATTTGATTGATTAAAAGTTAGGTGGAGATAACATTTCCAATATGGCTACCTCCATGGTTTGGCTTCAAAATGTCTCGTCAGAAACCAACATCAATGAGACGGCGTCCATATTTTATACAGTCTTTGGATTAAACGATGATGTCAACAATGTCATTTTCAAAGTGTTACGGTGTGTTTTTGGTTTGATGAGGAACAAAATGGATTCATCACATTGGTTTAGCCTGATTTATACTTCTACGTCGAATGTACAGCATGGTGGCCTACGCCGTCGTGAGCACTACTTACTTTTATGCTTGTTATATGGCCAGTTTTTGATTCTGCCTCATTCTCTGCTTGTTGGTGTATAGTAAACCATGCTGACTGACACTGAGCGTATTATGTTGGATTTGGAGCTGATAAATATTGAGCAGCGGTTGATTATACCGGCTTGTCACGTTCTTCCTTCTGCAGAATTTTGAGGAGGACTGCGAAACCGGGAATACGACAATATTATGCAGTAAATAAAATGCCACCCAACGGTCCAATCACAAGGCTTGCGGTCTGTGTCGTTTTGACCATAGTTGCCTTTTTGGGCTTCTCCGTAGGTACAGAGCTATGTGAACCTACAGCGTAGATTCGACTATAGTATAAATCCTGCTTTCTACCACAAGAACACACTCACAGTTTTGATGAGTGTGGTAGTTCTGATTAAGACAATGATCTTAAACAGAAACCAGGTTCATTAGCAAGAAAACTTACATGTAGACGTTTACCTTTAAGGTTCTAGAGAAAAACCTGAAAACCAGGTTTACAATGGTTACCAGCCTTTTCTAAGTTATGTTGTTTGGTGTTTTCTCAGTCGGCATTGTTTTCACATTTTAATGTCAAAACTAATTCACATCAGGGAAAAGGTCACATGAAGAGTTCTTCCTCATCTTGTTCAGCTCTGTTTTCATTCGAAGCCGCTCACTATACAAAATAATTGAGGCACTCTTCATCATTTACATACATTACTTATTTTGTGTGTCACATACATATACATCCAGGCTGATGATTTGCACAGCCCTTTGCTTTAGTTCAGCACTGAAGCTTTATTTTTTTTCTCTGCCCCTCCTCCTCCTCATCCTCCTCATCCACCTCCTCTCTTCCCTCTGAATGGCTCTCAGTGGTGGAGGAGAGCGGCGGCAGCAGTGAGGCAGCAGCACTGGGCCTGAAGGGCACTTTTCAGCCTGGCCAGACACACTCGGGCCTTGCTGCTTGGCTGCGCAACATGGGTCACCGCCTTACATTAGGAGGACCCTGCCAAAGTCAGCCAAGCGGAGCCCTGCAACATACCTGAAAATGAATGAACAAAGTCGATGTTCCACTGCCTACTGCAAGCACAAAACAGCATGTTTGATTATATGATTCATACCAGTATAATAGATTCATATCTTAAAGGGGCTTTCCATAAGGTGTCTCATCAGCGGATGGATTTTTCCAGCCATAAATCTTCACTCACATTATCTGTCTCACCAATGAAAGGGCCAGCCAATAGTTTTGATTAGTGCACCTTTATTTCTTGGCACAGAGTGGGAATGAAATGCCCTCCTGTGGATGCAGTGGGTGCTCATGCTGAGGTCAGAGGGGGAGACTTAAGCAGACCTCTTGTGTCAGCTGCTGTTATTTATATGGAGTTCAGGCTTTATTCATCACCGTGTTGCCACTCTGTACCAGCAGCAGCTTCTCCTCTGCATCCCACCTTTACAGTCCAATGATCGACGTTTCATGAGAGGCACCTCAAGGTGGGGCTAAATGGTCTTATATTCCCAATCATGTCGCGTAGGCGGAGTCTGGCTCTCGTGCTCTTTGCCGTGTTGCCGCTGCCTGCCTGCTTGCCCAGCCTGTACTGTACATGACAAAAGCAAGGGGATGGAGTGAGTGAGATAAATCCACACTTCTTATTTCTCACACACACTTTTTTTTTGTAGGAAGAGGGGGTTTTGGATCACTGCGCCACATTACAAGAACACGGCTCCTAGTTCATGTTAGTAATAGAAGGACCCAGCAGCCTATCTCTTTTTACGCACAGCCTACTCCTGTGAAGGCAGCAGCAGCAGTTCAGATCAGATTTCACATTCAGCTCCGACCAGCTGAGAGCGAGAGACAGCCAGAGAGAGCAGGAGGGCTCTTATCTCCGCTTTCCACCACCGATCCCCCTCTTCTGTTCGCCTGAAAAAGAACCCTGCGAGGAAAAAACACGGGTGCGCGGCGCAAACATTAAAGCGCCACTGGGATTTTTTCCCTTCCTTTTTTTCTTTTTATGTATTTTTGCAGGATTTAAGCAGCGAGCGCGCCACAGAGAAAGCGATAGAGAGCAGCAGAGATGGACGAGCAGCCGAGGTTGATGCACTCTCACACGGGGGTAGGCATGGCAGGGCACCCCGGCCTGCCGCAGCACATGCAGGAAGGCAACGGAGGAACGGACGGCGACGGCAGAAAACAGGACATTGGAGACATTTTACAGCAAATTATGACCATCACGGATCAAAGTCTGGACGAAGCGCAAGCCAGGTAAAAAAATGTGCTCTTCTTGTCGAGGAGGGAGGCAGCGGCGAACTGGAGGAGAAAAAAGAAACAGAAAGAAAAAAAAAGAAAAAATACAAATCTTGAAATTTCTTAAATTAAAATAAAGCGCGTTTATGGAAGTTTTCAATGTAAAGGTGCAACACAGCCTCGTGCAAAAGCCGATAAAACATTGTAAAACATCGATGGCATGCCTGCAGATCACTATTTCTCTTCATATTGAAATAACCGCGCTCCTTGAACAGAAAATAAAAGTGTGTGAATGTGCTGGTTATTTCTGTCACATGCCAACGTGTCGCCCACTTACAGCTTAAAAAAAACACTTGACACCTTTAAATCATTAGACTCAAACAAATACATCTGAAATGTGTTTTTTTATTTATTCATAAATATAGACATAATTGCTGGGTAACACTTCAAGCTGTCATTTAAGTGTCTTACAGTTTGTTTCCAGCGCAGTGAGCGCCACACAACTTTTTCTTTTTCTATTTTTACTCCTGATACATAATTCAAGACTTCTTCCATCTTGAATCCACTTTAAATTCACTGAAGCTGCAGATGAATGTCCAAAGATGCACATTTGATTTTTCTTATTCTTAACTGATAATTAAAAAAAAAAAAAAAAGATATTTAAATGTAATCAAATTGACACAAGTTAAGCTTTCTGTTTAGCTTAACAATAAATATGTTGCACATCTGCACTGACCAGATGTTATTCTGCATTTGGAAATAGTGAGTACCTGTAATTTATTCAAGAATTTGTCCTTAAAGAAAAAAAAAGGATAAAAGGTTGGCCATGAAGTCAGTTTTAGTCTGAGTGAGTTTTGGATATTATTCATGTCTCTGTGGTTTCCTTATTAAGCCACTTTTCTGTTGCAGGAAACACGCTCTGAACTGTCACAGAATGAAGCCAGCTCTGTTCAATGTCTTGTGTGAAATCAAAGAAAAAACAGGTATGTCTGTTTTCACATTGCACTCAATGTACAGTACATATAGCCTAAACACTGCACTGTGTAAATCATCATATGGTGTCTAAGAAACACTCTTTAACCAGGTTCAATGAACACAACACTGCACAGAGTATGATCCACTAGAAGAGCATGCAGCTAAAAAACACACACGCACACACACACACACACACACACACACACACACACACACACACATACACACAAAGAGGCTTTGTGTGGACTATTTTATCATCAAAGGCTAATTTGCTATTCACACGCTAAAGTCACCTGATGTTGGATATTCAGTCACAACACAATCCAGCATATAAATTTCACTGACATGTAAGACATGTGTTTCCTCCTGTAGCGTTTTAACTCTTTCACAATAGGAACTGTGGACAATTACCTTGAGCACTCCTTATCAATTATCGTGTCAAAATATGAATGAGCTTTTTTTCCTGATGCTATTGTGGAATAATGGGGAGTTTGGAGCTAAAATTGTCACAAGCACGTTGACGTCTCCCCTCGTGAGTTAACTGTCAAAGCGTGGTGAACACGTCTCTTTCTATCCTGTGTTGTGTCTCTCTATTAAAGCGGTTGTGAGAAAGCATGTCAGCAGAATAATTGCTAGGAGAGAAAATAACGTAACACAGGAGGCGTAAGTCATGTTTCCAAATCATTTTCCCTGTGACATTTCTGAAATTGGCACAGATAGAATTCAGTGCACTTCAGACTGATAGCGTGCATCTCATCTTTTTTTATTTCCCTGTCTTTAGACTGATGTGCTTCTCCAGGCCTCTTAAAACTTACACTGTTGAGATATTGAGTCGCCAAAGCAGAGAGAGAGAGAGAGGCAGTGCTTTCACACTCATTAGTGCATGAAATCAAATAGAAGGATGGAGGATGGAGCAGATTTAGTTTTCATTGTCCCCCAAAGTTGCACTTGCTCATACTTGACCTCTGAGGCGGCGTTGTCTGGTGTGTGTTTATGTTGCTTCTCGTGTGTGTGTGAGCCCACCCTCGCCCGCTGCTTTCATGGATGTTTTCATTGAAGTTCACCTCGCTGCCTACCCAGCAGCCCCGGCAGTTTATCATGAATCGGCCACAGCCTCAGGAGGGAGCAGGGGGCCTTTTGAAGCCTGCTGGCTCCCTCTTCTTCTTCCTTTTTCTTTTTTTTTTGTTGTTGTCTTGCTAGGTTTTTTTGGAGGGGGGAGTGACACAGTTATGCATAGTGTTTTACTCCCTGGCGCTTCTCGGAGTTCATCCAAAGTTCGGCTCTGCAGAGAGTACAAAGTAACTTGGACCTCTTCCTGTCTGCACACCCATTCTTCTCTCTTTCAGCTGGCAACCTATAAATACAAGGTGCAGCTCACAGAAGATCTGCTGCTTGTGTTGTCTCGGAAACTTTCGTTTGAGCTGGAAAGCGCTGGTAGTTGATTGAGAAACAGACCTAACTTTACTTTTCATTTTGTTTAAATCTTGTTCAATTTTTTATCAGACATTTTAAATATTGACTGATTCAAGAGATCATTTGACAGATTTTCTGCTCGTCTCCATGTTGATATAAAATAATTAGTATCAACATAGGTAATGATAAATGTTCCTCTAACACTTCATACCTTCATCTAAACACCACCACAGTGTCTCTAAACATGGAGTGTAGAGATCCATTATCACGTCCAAAATCATGATTCAAATGTTAACTCTCGCTTCATTCACATCAAACGTGACACTGGCTCATTTATCAATTATTAATACTTTGAATAAAATTTGACTCTATCGCTCAGATATTTGGATATTTATTTTTTCACTTTCTAAGTTTTATTTGGCGTGTGGCTCTCTGAAACATTCCAATTTGACTGAATTTAATTTACTAAATTTGCTAAATTAAAAAAAACCTATTTATTTAAAATGTCGAGTGAAGCTCGCAGCTGCTTGCTCCCTCTAGTGGTTTTTTTTCTTGTTTTTTTAAAAAAAAACACAAAATGGTTTAAAAGGCAGACAAAGAAGCAAAAATGTTCTGATAGAATTTCTTCCTTCTTAAAGTTTTGCTTTTAAAAAAAATTAGTTCTATGAAATTTATAGAAGTTGAATAATGATTGCGATGGTCAGTGCAAAGCAAAGTAGGTGACTTTTTTTTTTTTTCGACGTCTGAATTTAGTCTTAGGATGATGTCTGTGGTTTTCTATTGTTGGCTGGTGTCAGTGGTCTCGTGTATTTAGTTTTTCTTATTCTACACTCACACGACAACAATGCTTTGACTGTCGGTTGGACATGTAAGAATAACCTTCACAACTTTCTTTGAATGGTTTACAAAATTTCATCTTATAAGTTTGAGTTTCAGCTTTTTGAAGTACTTGGTACAAGTATGAAATACTTGGTTTTACTTTTGGCCTTTTTTCCCCTTATGTCAGTTTTTTTTTTTTTTTTTTTTTACAATGACACCGATGTTTCTGTGTCCTCTTTTTGTACCAGACCCGACCGTTCCCTTTCCACCGTTAAATATTTCACACTGAGTGTATGTAGACTAGTGTTCCACTTGTACAGCTTTAACGGCTTTGAAAGCTGCAGTCCCCTCTGAGTGCAGAGCCAGTGTGTGTGTGTGTGTGTGTGTGTGTGTGTGTGTGTGTGTGTGTGTGTGTGTGTGTGTGTGTGTGTGTGTGTGTGTGTGTGTGTGTGTGTGTGTGTGTGTGTGTGTGTGTGTGTGTGTCCACTGAGCTGCTGTTTGCTTGTGTGTCATTTTTCCATCCCCGGAGCGACTGACAGCACCTGCAGGACACAATGCCAGTGTTGATCTAGGGCCTGAACTTGTGACCCACTGTGTGTATTTTTACTGGGATGAATTGAGGGATGGCCAACAGAAATAATGTGCAGTGTAAACATTCACAACGGTGCAGCGACAACCGGGAGGAGAGGATGAGGAAGGAACACTTGATTTAAACTTTTTTTTTTTTTTAATGGTAAGACATTGGCTTCATCTTCACCCCGTTTCATTCCAGGCATACTCGGGTTAGTCTTTTTTACTTCAAAGGAATGCAGTTTTTCTGATGCTGTGCACAAATCTGTGTGTGTGTGTGTGTGTGTGTGTGTGTGTGTGTGTGTGTGTGTGTGTGTGTGTGTGTGTGTGTGTGTGAGGCACATTCCTGAGAGGAGACGAAGCAGAAAATTAATAAAGCATATTAATTATATGATTTAATGTGTCCGAAAACGTGGAACAAAGCCAGAAACAGCAGTGATTTTTCTGTGTTAAGGTTCGTCGTAGCAACAGCAGGGTGCTCCGAGCTTCTCGCAGAGACTTTCCAAAAATACACACACAAACAATTTGACTCCTCTGCCATTGGCCCGTGAAATCTTATCCTTGCACTAACTCAGTTTAAGGTGTGTAAAGATAGGGATGATATAAATATGAAACAACTTCATCCAGGTTTTTTTTTTCTCACTTTCTGTGTGTGATATGTAGAAAAGTCACAGATATTTTTTGAGGTGGACTGTTTTCTTTTTGGTCCTCGGCTGCAGATTTATTTTATGATTGATGAAACGGCCTCTTTAGATAAGCAAATGCTTGACAAACTGATTTGGAAAATGAGCCGCCTTGACCTCTGTAAACACTTCACCAACATCATAAATCTCCAGCAGTGTCAAACAAAACCACTCCTCGACTGAGCCGCTCACTAAATGTGCTGCTCTGACTCGCTGTTTAATTTTTCTCCTCTCAACCTCAACAAAAGGCCAGCTTTCTTGTGGCCCGTGTTTGTGTAGTGTTAGGTTTCGAGCCTTGGGGATCCTCCATTTATAAAAAATGACTGGGCGAGTGATGTAATGTTATTTTTTGAAGGGTGAAAATAGGGTGTTTTACAGAGGGCAGTCGGGGAGTGTTTGACAGGATGAAATGAGCCAGAGGTCTGATTATGGAAGGTGCATGGAAGCCTACACTACATTGAGTTGTCAGCCCATTCACATTCTTGGCATCTGCCTATTTGTATTACAGCGGCTGAACTCAGATCAGCCTTCACGTCACTGTCCAAACACTTTGAAGCAGCCTGCACATTGATCAGGTCCCATTTTCATATGTTACACACTCTGAGGAACAGTTAACATCTTAATTGATTTTACGAAAAGTAATTTACCAATTTAAAAAAAAGTGATTATTTAGAGTCAAATTTATGGCGTTTGGACTTTTTTTTAGGACTAGGGCTGCAACTTAAACTCACCTAAACTTTCATTTTATCCTCCTTTCTAATAATTATTTGTCGATTGGACATTAGAAACCAGCGGAAACTGGCAACACAAAAGTCTCAGAGCTTAGAGTAACTTAATGAAAAGATCAGTCTGCTGTATAACTATTAAAGACCTGTTCATAGTCACTTTAATGTCATGTCAAATTAAGAGCAGCACCCAATATTTTTAGTGAGAGACCATTATTTTGTCTCTTTAACAACAACCATGACATTTAATTTAAATTTTAAAAATGGCTGATGAAATCCAAAGAGCTGTTGTTGCTGTGGAGTTAACACATCTGATGACATCATCCCCCGACACCTGCAGTGAGATTTTTTGACATAGTGATTACTGACCCCCAAAAAAACTTCATTTAGTAATCAATTAATTGTTTTGATTTTTTTGTTTGTTTTGGCAGGTAAAGTGTAAAAGAATCTGAAACAGAGATAGCTAGCAGCTAATGTTCATAATGTTCCATAAATACAGCACAACAAACAACCACAAAGCTGGAGATACACAACAAAAAGCTAAATTAACAAAAGAGACAAGCGCACTAAACGTTGCATTTTCTTCTACCCTAACTACGTCTAATGTAGTCAACGATTAGACACCAGTCATATTGAAAATAACTTCTCTTACTCCACAAAAAGATTTTCCTTGTGCATTGTTCTTTTTCACTTTGTAATATCTTTGTGTGTAATAGTGTTCAACATTTTGAAAGTCAAAGGTGTTGTTTTTAAATGAACCCTCATAGTGTAATTTAATACAGATTCAAAGGACTTGTA